GTTGAGCCCTAAATGTGAATATTCTCTCTTTTCCCCCTTTCCACCTCAGGAAGATCCCATGAAAACTTATTTTCAGGTGTTGTTCATAGCTGTCTTATTGATGTTGGCAGAATAAAGAAAATCCTATCTGTAGCACTCAATAAACTTCCAGTTTCACTGATTGCAGTCTGTAACTCGTATTTAAGCTCAATATTAGCAATCAGCTGTTGCATTAGCAAACAAAGCTGTTTACATTTTTATTCCTGTTAGCTGAATGGTCTCAAAGTTCATCTTTTCTTCACTACATGTAAACAGTGTTGTTACCTATACATTTTTGTCCCACCATTTGTTGGGTTTTTTTTTCCCCCCAAGAGACAGAATGTGATTGAAAATAAACATGCAAGAATAATTTGAAGCATATATATCCACAGGCATTAAAAGGTCTTAAAACTGCACTTAGAAGACTATCTAAAATCAAATGATGGTGTAAAGACAATACAATTTCAGTGATCTTTATATAATCTTAGATCTTTGCTTTTACTACCTGTTGGGCTCAATTCTGCAAATCCTTATTCTCCAACTGGTTCTAATAAAGTAAAAAAGTTAATTTCCAAGTATAGTTATGAAGTTTAGCTGGAAAGACAAAGGTTGGTTTCCCACTCTTGTCATCAAGGCAAAAGTTCAGTGAAGTACTGCATGTTTTGCTGGCTTCTGCTTTTCCACACCTGGGGCCAGACCAGCACAACCATGTTTCTGGGTGCCCACCATTGCCTACTAGTGGGCAGCCACCTGCTATGCATAGGGCTCATCTGCAGGTGTCACGCTCCTGATTAAAATGCAGTGAGATTAGGAAGCAGGCTGTAACTGTAAAACCAAGTTTTGTAAATGTAGTTTATATCCCCAGTGTCATCTAGCTCACTTTTAGGCTTTGCTTTTTCATAGCTAAAAGAATGTCCACCTTGAGCTGTAATCAATGGGCAATTAGCCAAAGGATTCTTAGTTCCTCCTGCTTCCCTCATTTACAAATTATTATAATTGTAATTTTCAGATACTTAAACAAGTTTGCAACCTGCTGGTGGTGGAAGGAACTTGTTTTGGCATAACACTGAGTACTATACACGTCAAGTGCAGATGACTGCGTGCTTTCTCCATGCTCCAGAGTGAAACAACCATCCGCACAAGTTTGAAAAATAAACAGTGAAGTCTGCTGTCATTCAGAATAGGGTGGGAGTTTTTCTGAAATTTCAACTGCAAATCAAGTTGTCATGCCATACAAACAGCAAAAATCAGAGTACTTTTTTTAATGGGAAAAATTCCATTCTAGTTAAAATTAAATTGAAAAAGGTAAAAACCAATCATAATTCAATTTCAAGGCTACTTAGGATCACAAGTCTGTCTTGTGTTCAATGTGGTAAATGTTGCAGCATTTATAAAATCTATACATTGAATAATTATAAAATAATGTAAAGCAATAGAGTCAATCAATTTTATTCTGTTCAGTAGGTTCTTTCTTTAATGGATAGTTCTTTTGCTTTCTTCTATGCTAATTGTAAGCCTATTTTAAGGCAATGAAGTTTAACAACTCTAACTAAATATAGTTGGACAGCATATGTTAACAAGTACTATACTCCCCAGCCCTTCAGAACAGCTCAGCCTCAAATAACACTTACATACTGCCTATGTAGAGATTAGGCCGCTCTTCATCCATGTGATTTAATTCCACTTTGCAGCTGTCCAAAATATCTGACAGTTCCTGGGCAGAAGGAGTGCCAGGCTCAGAGCAGTCCTGGGCTGTCGGTGTCTGGCCCTCTTAGGGTGCTGACCCCTTTGGTGGCCACATGTAGATTTAGGCAGGGGAGAGCTGGCCCAATGCCACTGCTGTAGAATCCACAGGGGAAATTTTTTTTTTGAGGCATGCTCTTTGCTGTGGCTTGATGTTCCCAAGCAGGTGGCTGTCTCTAAATACGGCATGCGCCTTGACGCCACCCCGGATTAGCTCAGCGCTACATCCCTGATGGAATGGGGAACAGCCACATAAATGAAAAGTCTGCATTAAGCGAATCTTATGCAAAGAAAACACTACTCCCCTCACCACATAAACTATGTTGCTGTGCCTGCTAGCACAGAGCTTTCCCTATGAAAGAAATGTCGGTCAATGCAACTGAGACGCAGTCCCAAATGCCTCATGTGACCTGGTTCTAATAATAAGCTACCGGGAAAGAGGGGACAGCTCATCTTCGAGGTGAGTTCAAAATAACAGCCATAAGAGCAGCTGTCCTGCGCCTTACCAAAAGTCTATTGAGCCCACTATCCTCCCCCTGTCTGTGGCTGTAAGTGGATGCCTACAGAAAGTAAGATTACACAAGCATGAATTATACTGCTTTCTAACACTCTCCCAGCTTCCAGCAGCTCATGAACTTCCAGATCTGATGGAGCATTTGTTAACCCTGAATGGGTTTCCATCCCATAATTTTTTTCAATTACCCCTTGAACAGTTATAGGCTTTTACCCTCTGCAACACCCTGTGGCAAGACATTACACAGCTCACCTAAACCCCTCCTCTTGTTTCTACTGACTTGATCTCATGCCCTCAGTTCTTGTACTGGAAAATAAAATGAAGGGAAATTTCCACTGGAATTTTACATGGCTCCCTTCAGGTGACACCGTGGTTTCATGATTACTTTAAGCAGATTTAACTCTGCCACAGCTGTGGCTGGGACAGTCCCTTTCACTGTGCTCTCTGCTCACAGACACACCCTCGCAGCTGCTGCTGAGCTGGCACTAGCCCTCATGATCTATTTGGTAAGGTGGTTCAGGAACAGGATCTAGATGAAAATTGCTCTCAAAAGAACAAAAAATTGAGTTTCACATTCACTTCAGTGGACGTCTAACTCTTCTTTCTGGTATAGTCCTTTCCCAAGGGAGGAGGGCATTCCCATACTGTACACACAATGCTGTGGGCTTTGTCAGACTCGTTCTTCAGCTAACCACTAAATGAAAAGGGATAATGGAATTAAGAACAGATTGAGGAAAGACCCCATAGTAAGGCAAGCCTGGGGCAGGAAGGCCTGTGTGCCTGTTTTAGAGGAGATGTAAGGTAATCAGCTCCTGGTCAGGCAGGATGTCCAGGACTGATGGTTCCTGCAGTCTCCTGCATGAGCCACAGTGCTCTGGCCAGCTCAGCCGGTACCCAGATTACCTTTAGGTACTTAAACATCTTTCAAAACAGAACCATCCCTCAGTTAGGAGTTAACATTCAGTGCCTTTAGTCACCTGGGTGCATAGACCCTGTTGAGATATGTGAATCTTCGGAACAAAGTGCCACTGATGAGGCACTATTTTTTTTGGTGTTGATTCCTTAGTCCAACTTGCCAAACGAATATTTGAAATACAAGTTTTCCCGCTGATAGTGGAAAACAGTGAAGTGCTAATGTCACATCACATCATGACCTGAACTATGAGTAGTGTGACAGGTGAGACGGTTTCTTTTCATCCTAGCACATCACAGCAGACAGTGTTTTATATTATAATTTACAGGACTAATTCTACCACTTTTGCTTAAGTTGACTGGAATTTTTTACCCTAAGCAGGCCTGGAGCCAAAGTTGAACTGTATATACGGAAGGGAGCAATACAGGCAAGCAGGAAATATAGGCAACACTAACTTCACAGATTAAAAATACTTCTGTGATTTGCCAGTGCCCTTGAAAAGAGTTTCTAACTAATTAATTCCCTCCACTGGTGTAAGTCTTGCTGTACAAGATCACTACCATGTCATTGGTGGCATGGATGCCATACAAACTCAGCTTCGCTCTGTACTCTTTTCTCTACCCCCAGTGAAGCAATACTCTCCCAGGATGAGCAGTATCTCCAAAAGCAGGTACTAATTTACAACAGGAGCAGCTTTCACAGCTGTGGCTTTGTGGGACAGATGTTCAGGGGCATGCAAAGCATTATCCTGATGGGAGGTTCCATTAATCTTGCTCACATGTGTCTAATTTTGCTCAGCCTAAATGCATTAAGATGCATTATTTCACTCACATGAATTTCAGATTTTTCAATACCATGTCTTCAAAAGGCTTCCAGACTAAAATCTACTGTAATGTGATTGAAATATAAATTACAATGAAATATTAACTCATAAATCCCTATTAACTCTAATGGAGAACTTCAAAGCAAATTCAGCTCCTCCTCCACCACTCTGCTGCTTTGTGAGGTATAAAGATTGTCCTAGCACTATTGGGTTTTAAATATGATTTTTCTAGCTGATCTTTTTACACTACAATGTCTTCTCCTTCTCTCATCAGTGGAGCTCTTTGGCAACATATAGGAAAATCTGAACAAACAGTTGGATAGACCTCTGAAAGGATCTTAAAGATACTTATTTTGCAAAGCATTTGTTATACTGCAATTTGGGAGGGATTTCTACATTCCCATAAGTGCTAGGCGGAATCAGCATTTGTGTCGTAACCTCTTCAAGAATTAAGGAGGATAGGGGGTCTGGGAAAGAAGAGATTCAACTCACAAGTCACCATGATCTACGTCTTCTAATAACCTTGTAAGTCTCTTCCAGGGGAAAGTGATCAAAATTGATGCTTCAAATGCAAACAAACAGCAGAAATGTATTTACTTAATCTGGCAGGGAAGGTTTATAAGGTTGGTTAATCAATGAATCAAACCAGTAGCAAAGGGAAAAAACAGATTTGATTATTGCTTCATCACAAGGTAACAAGCTGATTTTCAGGCAGAGCAGGAGCATGAATTTCAAATGGTGTTTCTGTATTAAAAAAATCACATCAGTTTAACTACTGATTAACTAGTGACAGTAAAAGTGACATCCTCAAAACATCTTAAAACTAATTTGTCTCAATTAAGCCTAGCCTTTGATGTAAGCTAACTAAGTTCCTACCTAGTTTAAACTAGGGGTGATTCAAAGCCACTTACACAGAACTGATTTGGGATTATTTGGAGGGAGAGTGAACCAATGAGTTCAAGCTCACAAAATGCTTTGAAGATCTGATATATTTTTTTTAATGTCCTCAATATATTACATAATATACATTATCTTGCTGAAAACATATTTACACAAGAAAAGGTTTGTGGGTTTGTTGACCCAGAGACTGCAGAGAGAGCTGCACAGAAGTTTATTCTGCTGGTGTGGGTCTTCAGGCTGTCACAGCTTCCTGTAGCACTGCAATAGTTAGCAGACCAGTGAAAGAGGAATGTTTCCATAGCAGTGCTTGGGCTCTTAAGAAATTGCCCTTGCCACATCACCAGGCCTGGAACACAAAACGCTCTTCTTATGAGACCACGCACATGAAAACTGTAACCAAACCGAGGAAGCTGATTATGCTCAAACATACTGTACAGCTAGATGCAACTATTAAATTGCCTCTGTCATTAGCACAAATTCAGGAACAAATTCAGTCCATCTTAACCACTGCAGTGGAGTCATCTCGTAGCACCATGCTAGGCACAGCAGCTCTGCAGCACACGGTGCTTATGGTGCTGATGTTGGCTGTACTGGTCTTGAAGGAACTGAGCTGTCAGAATTAATTCATTTATGGTTCTCTTTGATGCATAATTTTCTTCATTTTTCCAGCATGCATTGATCATAGGAAGATGTATATACACAATGGCTATGAAGGCTGAAACTCAGAGAAGTGAATATAAATGGGTTTGCCTTTTCAGCAGTCCCTCTGTTGCCGTAGTTGAGCATCCAAATTTCGCAGGTGTTTCAGAAAGCCACTATTGGGTGAAATCCATCTATGTTCCTTCACTGTTTTGATGGCCTCAACCAATGGCAAGTGGTGATTTATCATGAGATATGCTAGGACCAGGGAAGCTGACCTGCTAACTCCAACAGCACAATGTACCAAAATTTTAGCTAGTAAAAAAAAAATAAAATTATAACCACAGAAGAGAAGCAATACAGTGGATGAATGAACAAAGCAATTAAGTTGTTCTGTTGTGAGCAGGAGGAAAACCAAACCCACTGATTTCAAAGGAGCTTACTTGGGTGAAGAAGAATGCTAAAATCTGGCCTGAAAGGATGGTGCTAACACATTAGCCACCAAGAAAAATGACTGGTGTAGTACCATTGCATAAGGCAATTTGCTGCAACTGTAATTCTCTTTTGAAGGCAGAACTTGTGATACAGACTGAGACTGCTCCATTAATGCCAGTTTACTCATGCTAAGAAACGGTCTTTTATGTAATACAGGTTAATTAGTATTTTATTGCACCAGTGCCAAGAAGCTCAGTCTCCTGTGCAACACACTAAATATCCTTGGGTAAAGGTAAATCTTCTCCTTAGGGGCACAGCTCTGCAGGCCCTGTAGATGCAAGAAGATCATCTGCAATACATGACCCTCTTTATGCAGTTGGTGGCTGTAGAAATCAGTCTCTTGATTCATTTGTTCTTACAAATACAGTTGCCATGAGGGTCTCAAAAAAGAGTGTTGTTTCATGTTTTTACTTCCCCCTTTTTGAACCAGCCTTTCCTTCAAGATATTTGTCTCTATTCCGACTCCTCTCCTCTCTGCCCATCTCTCTTTCCTGCACTGTTCATCCCCTTTTCTGAGGCCAACTTTTTGGGACCTAGTTAGAGCTCCATCCATGTGCTCAGCACTCCCTCCTCCTGCCACACACCATGCAGGTGACCAGCAGCTGGCAGGAGAACACATAGTGATTTGTCCACCACTGAGCTTGTGGAGCTGACATCTTGCAAGATGCTGCCAACTCGCATAAAAATGTGACCAACAATAATTTCATACCTCCTGGTGTGTTCAAGGCGTTGTGGATAAATCGTGCCGCAGAGAAAAAGAACTGGCTTATATCAAAACTTGGGAGATCATGGGCTGGTACCCCATAATAATCAATGGTCGCTCCATAAAAGTCCTGGCCTCCGTGGCTGTATGCTGTGCCATGGGCAGCATTTAAAACATGGGTCACACCCATTTTCCACAAAACAAATCTGTTGTGAGCTGTTACTCTAAGGAAAAGATAAAGACAAACAAAGTGACATGGGTGCAGAGATATTTATGGAGCAGGAGAAGCACTACAATTGCATTTCCAAAGCCATTTGCTGGAGTGTCAGCTTGTGAATTTCTTCTAAGGGCTGAGAAACAAGTACTAGCTTAGTCATAATTTTATCTCGGAAAGAGCAATTAGCAAAACTATCAGCTGCCTAAAGCTGCACCTGTGAGGCATACTAACAGACAGACTATACAACAAAGGTATGTCTGTAAAGCTGTACTTACAGGTCTCCTAAAAAGAGATTAGGCCATACTTCATCAACGTGGTTGCAAGACGGCCGCCCGGTGTTCAGGAGCTGCTCAATTTCTTTAAGGGAGGGGATGTCCTCTGTGCATGCCCCAGCACCTTCGGGTCGCCCGAGACCCGGCGCCTCTGCCCCAGACATGCCGAGAGCCAGGGAGAGACCCCACTCCCACCAGCCAGAGGCACAGTGCTGGGCACTGGGGTGCTGCCAGCCCCCGGGGCGGTGACAGGGGAGGCCGGGAGATGGGCTGGGGCAGGTGCCAGGCATCAGCTCCTGCCACCGAGCCAAGTCTCTGCGCTGCGGCTTCCCCAAGCCCCCTCCCCAGGGCTGGCTGCTTGCCTGTGCATTGCACTGACAAGTACAGCCAGTTGAAACCGATGCATGTATCAAACATGGCATTACTGTGCCCTTACTGGTTCCAGTCCATTCCCCAGGGCTCATCCCCAGAGCTTCACTGCTCTATCACACAGCAGCCTCAGTGCCAGGAGCATCAGATGCATGTGGCAGCAGCCCCCTACCCACAGGATGCCCACCAGGACATGGCTGTGACTGTCCCCAGAGGCATCCTCAGCACAGCAGCAATACTCAGCAAGATCTGGCCATTCACAAGCTATTAAAGGCCCAATAAAGGAAAAATAGAAATCTGTCCAGCACAAGAAGAGTGGCAACTCTCCCCCTGTAACAATTGCTTCCCACTTATTTTGAGGTGCTTAAAAACATACCTGCAAAAGGGTCAGAAATGCAACAGCGGGTCACCAGGAGGTTAAACAACACATGGACGGTGATGTCTTGCCTATCATCAATAATCTAGAGAAATGTGTTTTTTGAAGCTACTGGGGTTTTTTACCAAATAAAATTATCTGAGCCTAACTGTATGTTACACATTTAATCTTTTCTATTACAATCACTACTTTCATCACTATCTTAATACAATATACCTGCCACATATTGTACAATACTTCCCTCTGTTAAAAACAGAACAAAGAACCTGAGTATAATGGCTGTCAGGTGAAAGTTGTAAGCCACTGAGTTAATTTATATAGGAAGAACTGATGAGCCACAGGTTGGAGACCCATCATATCAAATTGCAATATTAGTGGGCCCTTTCAAGTGCAGCAGTTCTTATGCTTTTGGTTTGTAGGATGTGTGACTCCTGGTAGGGGGTTGTAAGACTACCAGTAATGGAACTACAGGGCAAAACACATGAAATGCTCATAACCTTCCTTTGTAAGCCTGGCAGCTGACATGCAGAGCCATGGTTCCTCTACCAAAGCAGTCCAGAGAGGTGACCCAAGAGAAGCTTGCTGCTGACATTATCACCTGTAGAAAAAAGGCAATGAATGGAAAGAACCCTTGATCAGGTCTAAGCCCCCTTTAATCCACATGTGTTGATTTACTACAATGGAGAGAGGGTTTGTTATATTTTCTTTTATCAAGGCACATCTAATGGAGAGCCGCTGAGACTGTATTAAAGTCTGGGCTAATTAACTATGTTTAGGAGTACTCAGGGTGAGAGATCACCCTAATACAAGGTAATAATTTGCAGCATTAAAGGGCAGAAGTTACATGCAAGAAGGAGGAAGTGACTTTGCTTAGAGCCTCTCATGAAGCAGAAATTGTTAAAATTCTGTGGATTCAGTGAAGAAACTGTTTAAGAGCCTCCTGTATACAAAGAGCCTGTTAGTTCCTATTCCCATACATGTTCTGGCCTAAAAGGTGAAGTAGGAGAAACTAAAGCAACAGTGCTGTAGTGCTTATCTAGAGGGAGCAGTGGGACAAGCAGCCAAGGCTCTGCTCTGAGTGAGGTAACCAGCTGGCCAGATCCAGCAGAGGGGACTGTAAAAATGGTTGAAGTTATACTTCAAGCACTATATACATGTCCTTAATATGTTTCCTTGTTTTTCTGTTTTGTTCTTTTTTCCTTCAGTAAACTAGTACTTTTAAAGATTATTTATTTGTGCTCATGAATAAGGAAAATTAACTGAGCAGGTGAAGTTGTTTAATTTCGTTTACTTTTCTCAGGTTTCTGGGTGGAGGCTCAAGGTGAGGTAGATTTTTTTAAAATGTAAGCCCAGCCCATTTGTTGGCAATCAAGTTCTGTCAAGGTGACATGTTTAAGTCTGGCCCTTTTCAGCTGTAAAACTTTTATTGATCTCTACCCCAAATGCACAAAGAATTCAGAGTTCATCTGTGGCATGAAAGCTGATGAGCAGAGAAACATGAACTCCAGAAGAATGATCTGCAAACCCTGTGTGTCTCCAACATTTGTATGGTGTACAGCCACCTGCTTCAAAACTTTGGCCTTCCACACCTAGCATCTTCTAAACATTTAATAGTCTGCAAACATGACTTTAGTAAAGCTGTGTTACTGGCTTTTTTTCTTTTGAAACAGACAGGAGGCAGAGATGTGTCTTTCAAACCAGCTCCATTACAAACTAACCTACAGGAGGTAACCTCACTAGAGAGAACGAAAGCATCTTTTCCTGCTCCATGCTCTCCCTTGCCTGCTGTTCTCAGAGTATACCTTTCCTTCCATTTGTTTACACAGGATTTAGCCATCACATCTGTGGGCCAATGCAGGACAGTCAGGCTCTCTGCTACTAGGACATGCCTTGACAAGAAACCCCCAGAAAGTTGGAGATCCTTCTCAGCAGAAGTGCTAACTCCCCTAAGTGAAGCTTGAAGGCTTTGTTCCATCATCTCTCTGCTCCTGGAGTGCCTTATTTTGTCCTTGTGTTAACATTCAGGAAAAGGCCACGGTTCCCTGACTTTGTGAAGAATTGTTGCATTTCAGTTTGTCTAAAAGTAGCCTGGATGCAAATGCTAAAAAACTATGAAAAGCATGAACCTAGCTTTGTCCTCAAATTTGGCAGGAGATTCCTTCCAGGTGTAATCTTTTGTCTAGACGGATTTGGCTGTCAACAGCTTTGCTTTTTTCCTGGCCATTTTGAAGCTAGTAAGGATGAATGTAAAAAGCAACAAACTGATACATGGTTCCACTGAATAGAGGCAAAATTCGTTTTCTCTGCAGTTGGGACTTTTGAGATTCCAAGAATTTGGACATTCTCCTGACTGTTGGAATGATGGGCAGCTCTAAGCCAAACATCTGTATACAATTATATATGATCTTAAAATAGCTGCTGTTTCAGTTGAAATTAATGCATGATTAATTTCAGAACACTCAGCAGAAGGCATCCTTCTAATTGGTCTATGCCTTGTGATTACTTTGTAGGTAGTGCTTGAGTGCAATAATCTAAATCAAACATTTCCTGGCTAATAAGGTATTAGTTGGCAACAGTGTAAAATGCCATGGAATGCTCTAGTAACACGCAGCATGGTATTACGAGGAAAATGTGCAGCAGTGGAAAATGGGACATTCATAGAGGATCTTCTATTGAAAATACTGCTGTCAGTACTAACTGATGCCATTCTAGTGACACCTTTCCATCTCTCTCGTGAAAACTGGACCAAAATCAAACTCCTTTCACACATCCTGAAAAAAAGAAAGCTTTTATAGCAAAAACATTACATCAAGGAAGTTCAGCTAGCTATGTTTCTATAGGCATTCAGTCTCTTTTTCCATTACAGGAGTAAGAAATTTCAAGATTAGATGCTTGAAAGTTCACATATGACTGATTTAAGTATGCTTCAACAGAAGCACAGAGATTACAAGGAAATTATAAGGCAGAACCTGATCTGTACAAAAATGAGCTTACCAAAAAATCTCACCTCAAAACCCAGAAAAAGAAAAAAGCATGATTTAGATCAGTTAGCACTTCTAGTGAAAGGTCCCCCCCTTGCCATGTTGTTTTCTTTGCTGGAAAATAATTTTTATAAGCAATTCATTCTCTGTTCAGCTGCAGCCTTTCTTTCCTGCATAGGGTATTGAGATTTATTTGAGATAGATTGACTATTTCAAATTATTAAATGCTAACAGTATTACTTAATGACAGCAGAATGTTGATTTAAAAAAAATCCAAAAAACCATTAATATATCCCGTTTTCCTTTGATATATAATATATTGTAACTGGAGCTAGTTGGGAAATTTCAATATAAATTTCCTTTCTTCTTTTTGACTGTCAGCCTGAACATTGAATCAATGTGAATCTATATGAATTGAATAAATTATTTTTAATCTAAAGATGCACCCAGTGTAATTACACATTTTAAAGACTTCTTTTTCTTGGCAATACTTTAAAAGTATCTGTACCATATAATTTGTCATAAATTCTCAGACTGACATGTCAGCATTGGCATTGCCTGTCAAACTTACATCAATGTCACATGGCATGAAGTGACATAATTCAGTGACAGAATGAAGTTTATTGGAAATTTCTGTTAAATAAAGCACAAACTATTTAGATAATTCAGCCTTTTAAAGAATATCAAATGTTAACAAGAAGTACCTTTCAGCTTTCAAGTGCAGTGGCTAAGCAGCTATTCTATGTCTACTTTCATTTAAGAGTTACAAGTTTTAAATTGTGCTCTTTATCACTTTTCTGTGCAAGCCAATTTGGTAATTTTCAAAATATTTGTTAGGTGATGAAACTAGGCAGAGCAGTGAGGACTTCAAATAGAAACTGGCCATTGAGGCTTTCTCCAGTGCCGAGGTTGCAAATTGCTGCTTCAAACGAGCCCAGCAGCCTCCATAGGCTGGCACAGGACTCTCTCCAGTGATGCCTGGCCCATCTGAGTACATCTGTCTTCTCTTTTACAGTAGTTGTGACTTCTAGTCAGGGATTCACTGCATGGAAATCCCTTGCTGATTCAATGCACCTTAGGGCCTGTAAAGTTCAGATACTCCTGGATTCACATGGATGTATAATTATGATTCGTTTTCCAACCTGGACTTCTAAAGTCTAGAGACTGAATCTGGGAAGTCGTTTGTAGGGGGATTGCTGATCTTGCTATAAACAGAGTAGGGAAACAGGATGAGGAAACATTTGCTTTCATTTTTGCTTCCATCCTGCAATCTGGTGAACTGGTGGACTCTAGTGCATATTTATATTAAAAACCACACAACAAAGTAATAGCACTCTGAACAAAGCAGCACTCTCCTGGCACCTCCCACAAAAAGGCTGAGATCTGAAAGGAGTGTTAGCTCCAGGACTGTACTTAAGACACTGACACCGTGACCTATTCTGTGATAAGACAGGTCTGTAGCCTGCTACAGTTATTTTAGCAGCAATTTTTAATTTAAGTTTTTACTTATTTTTACATTATTAGCTTAAACCAGTTTTTTACATCCAGGCAAATTTGTCAATGTATTGTAAACTGTACTAAGCACCTGGAAGTGTGCAAAAAGTTGTGACTGACTGACAGTTGGTGAAGAAAAATTCATGGCAGAAAAAGTGGAGAATGCACGAAATAGAGAAACATAAACTCTTGTTTAACTAAATTGCCCTGCTCTCCTATAGTTTTGTTTTCCTTGTCAGATAACTTAGTTATTTTAAATGTGAATATGTGGACCTGGAGTAAGCAAAATTACCTCAATTTTCAACCAGCTTTATTAACAGGTCTATTATTAACAGGAAGACAAGGTCCATTTGATTGTTTTGTTTGTTTGTTTTGTTTTCAGATTCATATGTGTGTGTGCTATGGTTTGTCACTGATGAATTCAGACTTGTCAGTTTTTCATCTAGTGCATGAAGAGGGAAAGAAGGGGAACATTGTGAGGACTGAAATTGCACTTAATTCCTACATTGTTCACAGAGGCTGCTGAACTGGAAAAGAAAGCAGAACATTCCCTCCAACTTCAGCAACTCATTTGGGAAACTACACATCATTTTGTGTAGCAAATGAAACAGGATGGAATATACTGCTGGGAGATAAGCATTTCTGAAGCAGTATCAGGGCATGTGGCAATGAGCAGAAGTTCTACAGCTTCTGTTCTGAATATCCAGTATTTGATATATTTGAAATTTATATAGCCCATTACAATTGAGATTGAGCAGTTGTGGATATTTGCATCAGATTGCTCGATGACTTGACAACTTGATGTAGCTTTAAAGAATGTTGAAAGGCAAAATTTCCTTGTTTTACTGTAGCAACATGTAAGCATTGCAAAATATATTTTTTTTTCTAGTGAAGAAAGAATACAAAGCCAAATTCTCTGAAAAGGCTAGTGTTATTAACTTAATGGAACTACACTGGCACCTGCTTTTTACTTCAATTTAGACTTGTCTTGAACCTCATAATAATTACATCATCAATAAAGCAAATTCTGAATGTTCCTCAGACTGAATTATGCTACTGCAAAGGGCTGGCTGCACCACAGTCAGTTGATATACAAAACAGATTTATTTCTGGAATAATTTTTTTCTAATTCACCTGTCTCCTTCTGTTCCCTCCATTTGTATTATTTATAGGTTATGGAGCTCCTGAAGTTACAGTGCCTTGTTGAAGCTTTCATAAGTCATCTCTGCTGTTCACATCTGTGCTTTGGATCACCTTGGATAAACGACTGACCGAGTGCTGTCAGCCAGCTGCCAGTTTTATTTTTTCTAAAGACATCAGAAAAGAATAGTGGTGCAAAAAAGGGTGCATCTAAAGAGAAATGTTTTGTAATGATTGTTTGATATGAAAATTGGCAGGATGAGAGTCCTGTAAGTCTTCTCTGCTATTTTGACCTGACATGTGCCTTTCAATGAAGGATGGGGATATTTTCATTACTACACTGGTGGGTTTTTACATTATGTCAGGGTCACTCTATGTGTTTATTAATGTCTCATAAAAAATCTAAGAAAAATCCTATTTAGTGTGGTTGAAAACCTTAATCTTTCTCACATCCAGGCTGTACTAAGGTACTTCCTAATGATGGACAGAAAGATCATACTGGAAAAAAACCCATACTATAGTAACTTCCAGGAGTTCAGTTTTATATCCTTAGCCTGTTTTAGACATGTTCTGTTCTTCAGTCAGAAAAGCAAGATACCCTTGCTTCTCCCTTCAGCTGATCTCTATGGAGATTATGGATGATTTATTCTCTTCTTGGTTTATGACTTCTAAAAAATATGCTGCCAACCATTTACAGATTTTGAGTTTCTTATAGAGCTCGAAGGTGTTGTGACTGTACTTCCACATATGTAAGACCCATATTCCAATGGGTCGCCGCCATTCAATGAGCCATTCACGTGCCTGCACCCAGTGGGGAGGTTAATGACGGGATGGATACTGGGGCGTAAACGTGCCTGCGGGCCCAGGAAGGGATGCCCCCGCTCAGCACACAGGCCGGGCACTAGCGTGCAGCAGCCCCTCATGGTCAAGGAGCTGGAGCATCTCCGCTGCAAGGACAGGCTGAGAGAGTTGAGGTTGCTCAGAGAAGGCTCCGGGGATACCTTATATCGGCTGTACAGTACCCTCCAGGAAAGATGGGGAGGGTCTTATCAGAGAGTGTAGGGACAGCATGAGGGGTAATGGTTTTAAACTGGAAGGGGTTAGATTTAAATTAGACAGAAGGAAGAAATCCTTTACAGTGAGGGTGGTGAGACACTGGAACAGGTTGCCCAGAGCAGTTGTGGCTGCCCCCTCCCTGGCAGTGTTCAAGGCGAAGCTGGATGGGGCTTTGAGCAACCTGGTCTAGTGGAAGGAAGGTGTCCCTGCCCATGGCAGGGGGGTTGCAGCTAGATGGTCTTTAAGGTCCCTTCCAACCCAAACCAGTCTGTGAGTCCCGCACGTGCGGCAAGGCCCGCCACCCACGGCCTGGCCCCGCAGTACGCCGAGGCCGGCAGAGCCCGGCGGGAGGCCGGGGCGCGGCGGCGGAGAAGTGAGCACACACACATATGAATCTGAAAACAAAACAAACAAACAAAACAATCAAATGGACCTTGTCTTCCTGTTAATAATAGACCTGTTAATAAAGCTGGTTGAAAATTGAGGTAATTTTGCTTACTCCAGGTCCACATATTCACATTTAAAATAACTAAGTTATCTGACAAGGAAAACAAAACTATAGGAGAGCAGGGCAATTTAGTTAAACAAGAGTTTATGTTTCTCTATTTCGTGCATTCTCCACTTTTTCTGCCATGAATTTTTCTTCACCAACTGTCAGTCAGTCACAACTTTTTGCACACTTCCAGGTGCTTAGTACAGTTTACAATACATTGACAAATTTGCCTGGATGTAAAAAACTGGTTTAAGCTAATAATGTAAAAATAAGTAAAAACTTAAATTAAAAATTGCTGCTAAAATAACTGTAGCAGGCTACAGACCTGTCTTATCACAGAATAGGTCACGGTGTCAGTGTCTTAAGTACAGTCCTGGACCTAACACTCCTTTCAGATCTCAGCCTTTTTGTGGGAGGTGCCAGGAGAGTGCTGCTTTGTTCAGAGTGCTATTACTTTGTTGTGTGGTTTTTAATATAAATATGCACTAGAGTCCACCAGTTCACCAGATTGCAGGATGGAAGCAAAAATGAAAGCAAATGTTTCCTCATCCTGTTTCCCTACTCTGTTTATAGCAAGATCAGCAATCCCCCTACAAACGACTTCCCAGATTCAGTCTCTAGACTTTAGAAGTCCAGGTTGGAAAACGAATCATAATTATACATCCATGTGAATCCAGGAGTATCTGAACTTTACAGGCCCTAAGGTGCATTGAATCAGCAAGGGATTTCCATGCAGTGAATCCCTGACTAGAAGTCACAACTACTGTAAAAG